AAAATGGACTTATGAGCTATGAGGCACCATGAAATCGTAGTCAACTCCATGGATAAACATCTTTTCACATTATTCAGAATTTAAACACATTTTAATTTTTAAGGATTGGAAAAAAGTAAATAACGAAACCACTACGGATTTGTCAACTTTAACTATTCAAAAAATATATATCTTACTCTCCTCAGACTCCACTTGGTGTTATTGTTGTCCTTACTTGATTTTTTGGGAAATCCTTGTGTGATGAGGGAAAATTGTTTTATGTAGTAAATTGAAGTAAGATGAATGTGTAGTCATGAATGATTACTTAGTATATCAACAACAAATTCAGTATAATCTCATGAGTGGGAGTATGTGAAGGGTGATGTGTATGCAGACCTTACCCTTACATTGTGGAGGTAGAGACGATGTTTCCTAGAGAGCCTCGGCTCGAGTAACACATTTTCAAAGAAGGTTAGAAAAGGGAATATATATACCCTCTCTATTTCTACAGGGTAGACACAAGGTTTGCATACACTCTATTATCTCCGAACGCCATGTTGTTGTATTTCATGAGGATTGTTGCTGGTAATTAAGAACAAAACAACTTGTTAATTGTACAACATAAATATGGAAGATTTGTAAAAAGGAACATAATGTGGAAAAAACAAAAACATAAAGCTTCTTACTAATAAGAAAAGGTTTAACTAATAAAATGGTCGTACGTATATGTAATGTATCGATATTATATAATCGTATACAATATGATGTATAACTATATATCAAAGATGTGTTCACATCTTGTATTTATTTATGGAAAATAACATCATACTTGTATCAATCAACCAAATGGTTCTAAATCTATTCAGTGCTTAGCTATGTTTGTGATAATGTACAAATTTGCAAAGTTAAATAATATTACAATACGATTGGAACAAAGTATAAAGGAACTATTGTATATATGAATGAATATACAATATGAATAAGTTGTTACATATTTCTAAATGTTCCTCTAGACCTTACTTTTTTGCTGAAAGAGGCTATGTACAATGTTACTTCAGGATTTTTTCTTTATTTACAAAAAGTAGTGGATATTATAGTTGAGAATGTTCCATGGATTATGAGCTATATATACACAATAAAAAATTATGGTGAAACGATTAATATTTTTTTATTTTCAATAAAAGTTTTTGGAGTCGAATTTTGAATATTAAATCGTTTTTCATAGTAAGCATTTTACCCTCTAAATTAGACTTTTCAATATAAATTTGAATTAATCTAATCACACAATAAATATTGAACATCGAGTAAAAAATAAAAATAAAATGGACTTATGAGCTATGAGGCACCATGAAATCGTAGTCAACTCCGTGGATAAACATCTTGTCACATTATTCAGAATTTAAACACATTTTAATTTTTAAGGATTGGTAAAAAAGTCAAAAACGAAACCACTACGGATTTGTTAACTTTAGCTATTCAAAAAATATATATCTTGTCAATTTCAACGTTTGATATATATTTTTTTAATTACCCCCACAGTTCCAAAATACTTATTACATTATAGTTCTTGAGAGTTAAATTACTCAAATTTTAATTAATATTTTAAGATGTATTTTTTTCACCATATTGATATAAGAAAAATTACAACTTATAATATTTTTTATTTATTTTTTAATATCAAAATTTTAATTTTATAATAATATTAAATTAATTTAATTTAATTAATTCTCTGTGATAAGTATTATGGGACGGAAGGAGTAATGTATATCATTAATAACTTTATCTTGTCAACAGAGCTGACTCAGAATGATGTCCTTTTTTTGCCATTAATTAGTTCATTGACACATAGTTCCACTACCCTTTACATATTTTATTTGAATAAATTGATATAACAACTTTGAGAAAAATAAAATCATTTTTCATTGGTTTTAAAACTACTTCATAAATAGAGCTATTTATGGATATCACTATATGTTGTAATTTTTTTAAAATGTCACTATATAAAAAATAATAAGAGGGTTGAAATTGCTACATCAATTAATTTTTCCTATAAAGAAAGTCCACAAGAAAAATGGAAAGTGAAATAACCAAAAATTTTGCAAAATTCCCATTTGATTAGTATTTTTATGTTTTCCTTTTCTAAATCTAATAGAGATTCCCAAGAAAATTTGTCTTTGACTAATAGATAAAATTTCTAGTTGACTATTTTAATAAATATTTTTAACTTTTCTTCTCAAATAGTGTGGACCATTTGTCTAGGATGATCATGACTTGTCGCAATATATAATTCATTATTAATTTAATTAATAAGATTGATTTGACAAAATAAAAAAATATTTACATTATTTGTGTATATGAGGTGTCACAATCCAAGTTCATGATACGTATTGTCCACTTTGGCTCTACATGCCATGTGAATTTGTCCCTTGAGCTATACAGCCGCCATCGAGCTCAATAATCGCATTTATCATGTTAACTTGTAATATGCCTTATAAATAAAGCTCTTTACTTACATCTTTCATTTTGATGTGGGGTACATTTAAGGTGTCATATGCATCCCTTCTATAAAAGTTAATTGACACTAGAAGCACATAGTCAGTCCTTCTCTTTGATCCACCCTCATCGATTCATCCTCTATATATCATAGGCGCTAGGAACTTAGAATCCTCGTCGAGGTTTGACTTCACCGTACTGAATGAGAGTTGGACTCTTATATCATATTAGTTATCATCATAACCTTAACACTTATTGTCCACTTTGATCCAACAAGTCCCAGTCGCCTTATGTCTGTGTTTCTTGGGCTATGCCTATGTGAACTTATGGTGTGTTATAAAGTTTTTAAATTTCCTCTTCTATACCGATGTAAGATTGACCTAAGATATCATATGTATCCTTCTTCATAAACTTACCAGGTTAAAACAATCATTGTCTTTAACGTATTTTTATTAGTCAGCCCTCTGTCATGAACGTTACATAATATAACTCAATATTTAATTGAATAAATAGGTACTACTCCCAAAACTTATGATAAATGTTGGAGGAAGCTTCATTACTTTTTGTAATACTCTAGAAGAAATAATCCCTTTAATTAAGATAGAAATTAACTATAAGATGGATGATATAATTTGAACAAAAAAGATACATCCAAGAATAAAAAACCAAACTGTTTGCTGAGAGGTCCCTATTAATCTTATTATCATAATCATAATACTTATTCTTAATCACAATTGCACTAAAAGTTGTCAAGAATGTTACAAATTCATCAAATTATTAGATTAATTAATATTAAGGTAAGTAGAATATATACAAGCAGAAAAAAAATACTAGTAGTTGAGTCAAAATATAATTTATTGACAAACTATCTGACAAAGTTAAATCACTTAAAATTAATTTATTAGAGACAATTTAATAATTGTCTGTCCAAGACATTAAAGAATATTCAGAAAGGCATTTTGAAAACCAATTTGATTTTATCTCTTTTTGTTCTGTTTAAAAAAGTTTCAAGTATTATACATTTTAAACCTTATAATACTAACTAATAAGTGAACCTCTTTTATTTATTCATACATCCACATATACAATATAAAATTATGAAAAATAGAAATTCAAATGTTAAAAAACATTTAATTTTATTACATTGTGATATATATATATCACTTATGGTATTTATTTTAATAATGTATCATTATTTCGCTCCTAATTTTATGAAAGAATTTAAAATTTAAAATTTAAAATTTTAAACTCCGTAAATCATTCATGAAATTTCAAACTTACAAACTTTTGCACATTATGTTAAGAGCTCTATATGTTATTTCACATTTTTCCTAGGGGTACTTTTGTCCAAATATTATTCTCTTCCTTAAAAAGTGACTACTTTCCTATTACTTTGTTATGTGAGTGTTATAATTTTCAATTTCCATATCTCTTCACTACAATTCTTTTATATATATAATAAAATAAATAATAAAAGTGCCATTAAGACTTTAAATAATTAAAGGCATTATATAATAAGGGCGGCTTCATCATTTTATGGCGAGATTGACTCAACGTCACGATAGCCAGATTTGCATTAATACTTTACGAGATCGTTTCGTTGAATTCAACACATCAAATAAGACGTTTGTTTACGATCTCGTATAACTAATATATGTGCGAGTCATAAAGAAATATATATTATTTTGTATAGGATATAAGATCGAAAGTTGCTATCTTATTAGGTTCAATCACTATAATTGTTTGAAACCCACAAACCATTTCGATTGGGGTTCATAATGACCGACACCCCTTTATCAGAAAATTACTTTGTACATTCTTTATATCTTGACACTCTTTAGTAAAAAATTTAGCTCTATCACTGCATCCAATGCCAAACGGCACCTTATTCCTTAGTACAAAATAATTAGACCAAGTCA